TGAAGCATCGTTTAAAAAAACGTGAGTAACGCACGCCCTGAGGCGCGCCTTGAGGCGAATCGGAGGTTGATCGAACTAGAGGCGCCGCCTCAGTGGTAAGATTTGATACGCACGCCTCATACCAGTGAAGCGCATAGGAATCGATTGAGGCGAAACGCTTTCCAGATGCGTACGCCTTCAATTTTTCTTTGACTATTTTGACTTTTTACGTCGATTTCGTTTTTACCTTTGTTTTATTGACCGGTTTTATAATAAAACTGAAAACCCGTTTCATTTATTGACCTAATCACCTCATTCACTCAATCTAAATCGCCGCTCATCTATTCATCTCAAAATCGCATCTCACATGCACTTCTTCAGTTGAATTGGTTCTGCACTTCTTCTGGGCGATCGAAGGTCTGCTCATATTCAAGGTTAATTTTCTTATTCTTCTATCAAAATCATTTTGTAATTATTATTATTATTATTATTATTATTATTATTATTATTATTTTGTTCAGCAAATGATTTCTTTGGGACTATCAATTGTGTAACTTAGGTTCTGCACTTCTTCTGCACTTCTTCTAATCTGATTTTGCTGCATTCTATTTACAGTGAGGATGTCCAGTAAAGGTGGAAGGTCGGACCCTGCTTGGGGTCACAGTGAGGAAGTAATGGTAGAGGCAGAGGGTCAAAAAAAGGCATACAAATATCTAAAATGTAAGTATTGTAGCAAAATCATTAAGGGAGGGGTTCAGAGAGTGAAACAACATCTTGCTTGTACACACCAAGATGTAGAGCCTTGTCCTAATGTTCCAGAAATAGTGAAAGAGGAAATGCTTCAGTTTTTGAAAGCATTTCAGAATACTAAATTAGCTTCTCGAACCGCCTTCGAAGAAAACGTAGCAAGTTGGGCATACTACAACAGAGGTGGAAGTGTTGATCCATCATTTACAACTGGTAGCTCTAGGGGTGTTACAGGACCAATAGATAGATGGATGGTGGGTGGACAGGAGGATGAAATAGATGGTCCAGGACCTATAAAAATTACCCCATCCAATACTAAAGAGCATCGAAACCAAGTTTGTTTGGATATTGAGAGGTTCTTTTATGAGAATGGAATCCCGTTCAATGTATCCAATAGTCCATCATTTACTAATATGGTACATTCTATTGGAAACTATGGACGCGGATTGAAACCCCCTTCAATGCATGAATTAAGAACTTGGATCCTTCAAGAAGAAGTCAAAACAACAACAACAATGGTGGATGACATTAAAGCAACTTGGAAGACAACAGGGGTGTCATTGTTATCAGATGGTTGGTCAGACATGAGAAACCGAAGTTTGATCAACTTTTTGGTCAACAATCAATATGGAACTATATTTTTGAGGACTATTGATGCATCAGATTGCATAAAAAATGCTCAAAAAATATTTGAGTTGCTTGATGAAGTTGTTGAAGAGATCGGGGAAGATATTGTTGTTCAAGTGGTGACCGAAAATGCTAGTGCATACAAAGCTGTTGGAGCATTGTTAATGGAGAAGAGAAAAAACTTGTATTGGACCCCGTGTGTAGCTCACTGCATCGATTTGATGCTTGAAAAAATCGGTGATTTGACTCAACATAAAAATGCTTTGCTTAAAGCAAAAAAGATTAGCAATTTCATCTACAGCCATCAGTGGGTGTTAAGTTTATCCCGGAAGATTCTGAAGAAAGATCTACTTCGACCGGCTGCCACGAGATTCGCCACGGCTTTTCTGACTATACAAAGCATTTATGAATCGAAACAAAACTTACAACAAATGTTTGTTTCAAACGAATGGGGGGCATCTTCTTGGGCTAAGAAACCCGATGGTAGAGAGATAAAAAAAAAATTATGGATGAAAGAAATTTTTGGCCTAGTGTGGTTTATTCCATGAAAACCACAATGCCACTTGTTCAAGTTTTAAGGCTCGTTGATGGGGAGCAAACACCAGCAATGGGATTTATTTACGGGGCGATGGACGAATGCAAAGAAAAAATAGCAAAGAACTTGGATAACAACCTCGCTTCTTATAAAGAAATTTGGGACATTATCGATAAGAAATGGGAGTTGCAAATGCATCGTGATTTGCACGCTGCTGCCTACTACTTAAATCCACAATATCATTGGAGTCCCAATGTTTCCGAGCATCCGGAGATTAAGCGAGGATTGTATGATGTCATGGAAAGGCTCGTGAAGGATACGGCAGTTTATATGAAGATTGAAGATCAACTCGTTGCTTACAAAGAAAAAAGAGGATTATTTGGATATAGAGGTTCTTTATCGACATATCTGACACGTCCACCGAGTATATTATTAAGTAGTTTTGTTATTATAGTTATAGTTTTTATTTATATAAATTACATTACTTATTAGGGTAAACTACACGAATGGTCCCTATGGTTTGGGTTAATCTGCGCGTTTGGTCCCTAAAACTTTTTTTTAACTCGGACGGTCCCTAGGATATATTTTTGTTGCGTGATGGGTTCCTCATAGACCTAAAATGACTATACTACCCTTATTTTTTTATTTTCTTTTATTTGTCTGATTTATTTATATATAAAATAAATATAAAATTAAAATTAAAAAAATCATTAACCTTTAATCTAATCGTACACCCTAAAAAGGAAAAGTTGCTTTCCCCTTATTCCTTTCTTCGTCCCCATCCCTTCCTCCAATCTCGCCGACGAATCCATAGGGCTACTGCTAGAGATAATGAAACTCCATCTTCGATGCACCTCTCTGTCTTCTTCCTTTTCTCACCAGAAAAACTTGACCCACGAAGCTTCATCATCTTTGCCTCTTCCCCTCTCCGATTAGAGCTCTCGATCCGTTACTCACCGGTAAAACACGACGTAGGAATTCATCGAACCGTCGAACCAGAATCATGGGATTTCTTCATTTTGTTTCGATTTACTGCATATCTGAGTAGAAATTTTCAGAAACTTAATTTTTCATAGGAACCACAAAAAAGAAATTTGATTTCTCCGAAAGGGTGCTGGCACTTTTCAATTTCTGAGTTATAGTAGTTATGAAAACATGACTCAGATTGGGGTGGTCGAAGAAGATGGTCGAACTAGGCAGGCTCAAAAGGGGTAGCAAAGTAGAGATGAAGGTTCTAGGTTTAATCATGGTGTATTTCATCGATGATTTCAGATGGTGGTTCAAGCGAGGAAGATGATGAATCTGGAACCCTCGCTTGTTTTTTGCATTCAGAATTTTCATGAGGTTTTGGTTTTCAACATTTTGATTTTGATTTTGTTCAATTTTGATTACAAGGTAACAATTTAATTTTGGTTTGGGTTTTGATTTGGTTTGATATTCATTAGCTTCATCCTCTGAAAATTGTAGAAGCACGCACCATTGTTGGAAGATGTTGGAGACGATGGTGGCTACAGGAGACAGTCATGGTCATGATTGTTATCGAAGATGATGATGATGATGAAGATCATATTTAATCAAAGGGGATAAAGAATTCTAATTCCATTTTCTGGATTTTTTGTGCAGATTTTTACATCACTTTTGCTTACCTGGGCTCCGATGTCACATATTTCTTTTGTAACTTTGGTTTTGTTCTTATTGTGGCCGATGGAGGTAACCGGAGGATAGTAGTAGTGGTGGCCGGAGGTTGTTTTTAGATGGCTGGACATAAGGAGGGGTGGGGTGGGGTGGGGGCAGGGGGATGAGTTTTCATTTAATTATATTTCACTGTTTAAATAAATAACAAATTAATTTAAAAAATAGATGTGGGCAAAGTAGTCTTTTTACATCTGATAGGGACCAGACGTGTAATAAAAATATAAAATAAGGATGTTCCGAGTTAAAAAAAAGTTGTTAGGGACAAGCACGCAGATTACCCTAAACCATAGGGACCATCCGTGTAATTTACCCTACTTATTAAGTTATTTATAAACATATATAGTTACATGGTGGGGTGAATATGGAGACGATGCTCCAGAGCTCAAGTCCTTTGCAATAAAGGTTTTGGGTCTTACATGTTCCGCTTCGGCTTGTGAACGTAATTGGAGTACGTTCAATCAAGTCCATACCAAGAGACGCAACCGGTTAAACACCGAAAGAATGAACAACTTGGTTTACATCATGTACAATAAAAAGTTGAAGCAAAAGTTCATTAAGAGGACTAAATTAAAAGAAGATGACCCCTTAGTTGTTGATCATGTATTGTCGGATGATGAGTGGATAGCCGCCCCAAGTGATGGTGAGGAAGATGACATTGGAGGTGTCGGGATATTAGGGGAGGAAGATGGTGGGGTAATTGGAAGTGCTAGAGCTGGCAGGGCTATTGGAAGACCTAGAGGTGGCGGGACAATTGGGGAAGGAAGTGGAACTAGGAAAAGGAAAAATGTTCAAGTGAATTTGATTGACGAGGATGATGGGGATGAAGTGAATTTGATTGACGATGAGGAGGGTGACCGGTTTGAAAATGATGTGAATGATGCTGATTATTTTATTTGAACTTTTCACTAACTTGTGCTTTTTTGTGTGTGTTTCCTAAGTGGCTGTTGTTTTGGAGTTTTAGACGATGACGAGGGTGACCGGTTTGAAAATGATGTGAATGATGCTGATTATTTTATTTGAACTTTTCTCTAACTTGTGCTTTTTTGTGTGTGTTTCCTAAGTGGCTGTTGTTTTGGAGTTTTAGACTTTGATGTTCTAGACTTATTTTATATTTTTGAATGTGTTTTTTTATAACTAATGGATTTGATGGTGAAATTAGCTTAAAAGGACATGTTTAGTATATATATATATATATATATATATATATATATATATATATATATATATTGTATTCCGCCTCGGGGTTATGCCTCACTCCGCCTCGAGGCTTACGCCTCATGAGGCGGAGGGAAAACGCCTCAAGGCGCGATTCCGTACTTTTAAACCTTGCATTGAAGCAATGAAAATTCCCTTGTATTTGGATGAAATTGCTATAACTAATAGAAAGAGATTGAAGGATTATACTATAACAAACAAACCAACCACAGGAAGCACATTTAAATTTACTACATGCAACTAAAAGTAGTCATTAAGACACCAAATGCATAGAAAGTGCAACACTATAAATAATGTAGTCATTAACTTCATATCAAAGACACCAAATAAATGATATGTCAAACTTGAGAGATGAACTCCAATTGTTTCAAAGATTCAACTACTTGAATAATGTAAGGGTGTTTACAATGCAGAAACATAAAAGCACAACAGCATATGACATATATCATTCTTCCATTCGATTATCAGCAGATTCATGTTGAACGTTGACTTTGACCTTAGAAGCTGGTGTGGCAGTTGACTCTTTCGCACCAGGTGCTTTGACCATGTGGAGTTGCTCATCATGTTCCTTTCTAGCCTCTTTTCTTTCCTTTGCAGCCTTACCCTTCATCCTGCATCACCATCATCATCATCATCATCATAAAAATGTTGATCAATACAAATATATAATAAATTTAAACAAAATTGAGTTAAAGAAAGAAAAAAAATACCTATTCTTATGGTGAGTCTCCTCCCTACGGAATCTGACTTTGTCAATTGTTTTGATTGCCTTGAGTGTGTTTTCTGTGAGGTTTCTGTCATACCTCTCTGGCCTGTTGCGTTTCCTCTCGAATTCAAATGTCGAATCCTTGAGGGCAAATTTGTAAATATAGTTAGTACTTAACTTATTAAGCTATTTTTTTGATCAATTCAAAAGAGCAAAAATCTAAGGATGTGTACCTGAGTCATGTCCTTGCCATGTAAACGCCTATAAGCTTTTGTCCATTTCACCTTGCGAGGATTCCTCTTCATTTTAAAGTTCTTGTGGCATTTTGATCGACAAAATCTAAAGATCTGTAATGTCAAAGATCATATAAATGAGTTTTATAGTGTACTAAAGAAATATGAATGTATAATCTTCATAACATATAAAAGAATTGATTACCTTTGCATCATTTCTCACAAACTGGATACCATGTCCTGGATATACTGTAGATGAACAAAACCAGCACTTCTCCAACCTCATTGTGAAATATTTCAATCAACGCCAAATTTTTTCTGAAACAAAAAGAAAATGAGGTTATGAATGAAATCTGAGGATAAATAGATGACAAGTAGTAGCAATGCAAGTTATGCACATGAAACTGAAGAAACTGGACTAAATGATGATGATGTAACTAGTGGATCATGAGTGAAGTTGCCAGATTCTTCTACTGGTGATTATCAAGTATTTATATTTTTTATAAAAAAAAAAAAAAAACGATTCTTTGAATGAAAGCCATGAAATTTCACCAACTATATGGATAAAGTCCCGGAAGTTGAAACCCTAAAAGATGTCACTTTGTTCTAGATGTGGTGTTAGATACTCTGATATCATACAAGCATAAGAAAAAAATAAAAATAAAAATAAACTTTGTGAAAATTGCCAGAATTCGTATTCATCGTTGACGCCTCAAACAGAAGTAGCCATGTGAGATGGGTAGAGTAGTTTTGTAGAGTTAATCTCGAACATGTTATCAGAAAGATTAGAGAGTAGTTTTGTAGATTTAGTCCAGAAAATCAAATAAAACAATTAACAATTCATTAGCATGAACATATATCTTCCATTAGGTTGCTCTTTCTGGGAATTAAATAAAAAGCATACTGAGTTTGACAAAAAAAAACTAAGAAAAATCGAACCTTTTATCAAATATTGTACAGAAGCAGTCGATCTATAAATAATCCTTGAACCCTTACCTTATGACAAGGACGAAGAAATCAGCCCAGAAGGCAGCGACGAAGAGGGCGGCGACGGAGAAGGCAGCGGCGGAGTTCTACACCGACGCAGGGGACGGTTTGTGGATTTTCTGGTAAAACCCTAAAACAAGATTTTGAGGTTTTCTTTCTCTCGGTTTTTATAGTTGGTCCGTTGGGCTTTAATATTTGGTTATTATTTAGCTAAAAGAATATTTCGTTATCTCCCTTTAATTATGGCCCAAAATAATATTAAGTCTATATACAATTCTAATATTATAGAATGAATTACATGAATACCTACGATTTGGGGTAATCTATATATTAATATTTAGTTTTTATGTTATTATTTCTTTTTAAAAAATTGGGCTGCTGTCCTTATAGTTTGATTTTATTTCATATATATTGGTCTTATACATAAAAATATTATAACTAGGAGGGAAAGTCAGGCTCCGAGATGTTTTTTGTGTTTTTTATGTCTTAACTGTAACGATCAAAAGTGTTAAAATAACTAAATAATTGTGACAAAAACCTGAAGGCATAAAAAGTTGTTATAGCTAAGTTCCATGAAAGCAGGGAGGGGATTGTAAATTGTTATAGTGTACAGAATCATCAAACTTTAGTGTTAAGAATGTGAAGAAGTAAAAGTGAAAGTTTATTGGTAATAGTTTAAAGAAACTTTAGTGTTAAGAATGTGAAGAAGTAAAAGTGAAAGTTTATTGGCAATAGTTTAAAGAAGTAAAAATGAAGTTGCAAAATTATGAAGTGATAAAGGTTCCTATTCAAAGGTCTCACGTGCTTATATATATATATATATATATATATATATATATATATATATATATATATATATATATATATATATATATATATATATATATATATATATGTGTGTGTGTGTTTTTTCAAATGAACATTAAATAGAGTAAAAACATGAATACACTACTTTTATGTTATTATTTGTTATCAAAAATCTTTTGTGCAACTCAACTCCACTCCTTTTTTTAGCACCGATCATGAAACTATGTCCATAATACACTATCTAGTATAATCAATACAACATAACACATGGTGTACAATCAATACAAACAAGAGACCTCAAAAAAAAAGAGAGAGAGAGAGAGAGAGAGAGAGAACCAAGAACATAAAGAGAATCATGGAGGAGGGTAAAAGAAAGTGATTGGGTTCTACTTTTTAATTCATATGATGTTACTTGGAATTGAAGCTTCACCAGTGACATCCTCGTTACCGAAAATTAATGCAGCTTTGTGGATTAAGTTGGTAATCATTTCCAATTCAATGTATCGGTACTCATATATATTTATGGCATTGTGACACTTTTATATACACATTCATTGTAGTCAAATTTAGATATTATATAACTTTGTGCATAAGTATTATGTTTAAAAAAGAGACTCACATTGCAATATCACTATGTTTTCTAAAAAGTAACAAAACTACATTAAATGTGAGGTCAATGTACACTTAATAATTTTTCTAATTCTTGGCTAAATAATTTTGTAGGTGACATTTTTTCTTCAATACCGACACAAATTTGAGCCCAATAGTTTTTATTGTTATTGGCTAAATAATACATCATGTCTAAGGAGTTTTTTTTTTAACCGGCAAAAGAAATATTATTATATCATAATCGTACTAGCAAGAAGCTAGAACACGTGCTATCACATTTTCAGTTACAAAGAAATGGTGAATTAACCTAATGATTCCAATCTAATTTATCATATTCACCTCTATGTTTAACCCATACATAGGTATGAGTTTTTATATCAGAGATATTTTTTGTCGAATCATAACAATGTTTTTTAAATATTCTTTCATTCCTGGCTTTCCATAAGCACCATAGGGTTGCGAACACAATTGTCGTGAAAACTTTTCTCCTTTTAGGGCAGTTCCCCCATTTATATGCAAAGCCAAGGATACTTGAGATTGATTGAAAATCACATGCCCGAATCTTGCACCATTGGAAAATTGACAGGAATACCTCCTTCGCTATGGAGCATAACACCAAAATATGGTCCCCCGATTCATCCACCTCACTGCAAGCACTACATAAAGTCGAAGGCAGTGCAACTCCTTTGTTCTTAAGAGCTTCAGCCAAAAGAATACGATTTGGTTTTGCCCGCCATACAAAACCCAATACCTTTAATGGGATTGTCTTGAGCCATGGGAATACACCGTCGCATGTCGGGAAGGAAGCCCCTTCAATTCTATCCCGAAGGGTTGCCACGCAGAATTCACCATCCACAACAAATGGTGATGTCCAGCTAGTCCCCGACTCTCCCAGTTGCATTACCTCCTCGGGAGGAATATTTAACCTAGCAAGCACAACTTTGCTTTTCACAATATTTTTCCACACTCCCGTCCATCGAAACTTTAGCGGAACTGAGCATGGCCGCCATGCAGGTTATGTAGTCCCCTGATGACCTGTGCCCAGAATGAGTTTGGTTCACTTTTCAATTTCCATAACCATTTGGTAAGAAGTGCAAGGTTTAAAGATCGGATTGATCCCAAACCTATACCTCCCACAACTTTCGGGGCTGGAATCTTTTCCCACGCCACCCAGTTAATACTTTTTTTGCAAGCAGCACCACCCTATATAAATTGTCTTCTAATTTTTTCAAGTGATTTTATGACTCCAATCGGGGCATCAAAAATGGACTGGTAGTAAGTTGGTATACTCCCGAGGACAGCTTTAGCGAGTGTAACCCGACCACCAAAACTAAGAGTTTTTTCTTTCCAAGCCGATAACTTTGCCTTTAGTTTATCCACAATCGCGGACCAAGAGGCCATACGGTTCATGTTCATACCCACCGGAACACCGAGGTAGGTAAAAGGGAGAAATGCCGGTTCGCAGCCTAATGGAGTTGACCAGTTAACTACTTCCTGGTTCGGGACCCCAATACCACAGACTTTTGATTTGTTGAAATTAACCTTCAACCCAGAAGACACATAAAAACATCTCAGAATTCTGGCTAGGTTGGCAATATTCCTCTTAGACCACTCACCCAAGAATAAGGCATCGTTTGCATACAAGAGATGAGAAAAGGAGGAATCAGAATTTGGGATGTGAATTCCATCAAAGATGCCTTTGGAAGCTGCTGATTTCATGGCAACACTCAGTCCCTCCATCGCAATAATGAACAAGAAAGGGGATAACGGATCCCCTTGTCTCACCCATTTTGACATAGCAAATTCCTTAGTAGGACTGCCATTAATGATAATAGAGGCCCTAGCCGACTCCAAACAGCCCCTAATAGGAGACACTTATTAGGGTATCGCAAATCCAACACCAAAGCTCATTTTTTTTTAACAAAAATAGTATAAAATCATCTTTGATCATACTTCATTTCGTACAACGTTTTGATGTAAATGAATAGTATAATACAAATTTTGATGTTATATTATTCCTTTTGACCAAAAAAGTGTCAGTTTAATGTGTTGTTTTTAGACTCTCAAGTTTCATATGTATTTATTTTCTAGTTTATTAAATATGGCTAGGTATATTCTAAATACAATAATTGTTACATAATTAATTTCTAGTTTATTACACTTGACGAGATATATTCTAAATGTAATAATTATTTGGTTATAATTTTGTAATAGTATACAAAAAAGATGAAAATAAATATGCAAAAATAAATAAATAAATAAGCTTTAAGGGTTTTTTAAGACTTCTATAAGGTTGAAAAAACACTTACTATGAGATGCATTCTTTGGTGCAAAAAATAGTATAAAATGATGTATGGTTATTTAGATGAAACAATGTTTCTACCAATTTTGTGTAAAAGAATAATATTGTGTTGCTATCCAATATTATATATCCTAGAATATTGACAATATAGTAACATATTCAACTTACATGTATTTTTTTCAACTCTAGGCATGATGTGTATAAACCAAATTCTTAAATTGTTGGTACCTTATTTTATGTCTAAGAATATATGAAGCAATCAAAATTTGATTGGTCGTCCTAGTTTAATCCGTTCTTATATTTAATATTAATATTTCAATATAAATTATTTATAAAAGGGGCAATTCAAGCGAAAATAACGAATAAAAGATTGTAACCTCAAAACAATTTATAAGATAAACGATGTAAATTAATATCCTAAATCTAACGTTTCACATGAAACATATGCAATATATTAAAGCAAAAATACATACCTTATGTTCGAGTCGTGAAAGAACTAATGATGCAAATGTGATTGAAATAAGGAAATCCAAGGATACAAACATGAGAAGAGAACAATTTGAAGGAATGATAAAACAATTAAACTCAATTCAGCAAATGAAATTTATGACACATCAAAGTGAAATATATTGAGTTGCTTTTGAAGTTGTTTTTACAGATCTTATATTTGATTTGTCGGTTTCTACTTTCTATTAGGGGTGTTCGTGGTGCGGTTTGGTGCGGTTTAGAGTTGAAACCGCACCGCACATGCGGTTTGAGTTTTTTGAAAACCGCAAACCGCACCACAAAAGCTCTAAACCGCATTATGCGGTGCGCTTTCATGCGGACGGTTTGTGCATTTTATGTGCGGTTTATGCGGTTTGATAAGTTGTTTCAATTTATAACTTTGGTTGTTATTCATTTCATTTAAACACTTTCAAAATTTATTAATTATATTGCATACCTTTAAAAGATATAGATATTGCAAACAAAAAAAACCACATAATGTTTTGCTAAGTTGTTATGTATTATGAAATTTGATATCATAGTCTTTTAAGTTTTTAATTATCATATTTAACCATCGTGATATAGAATAAAGTTATTGAAAAATATGAAATATTTGATGATTGAAAACTTTGATATATATATATATATATATATATATATATATATATATATATATATATATATATATATATATATATATATATACATACACGACGTAGTGCGGTTTGAACCGCGGTTTGGTAACTATAAACCGTAAACCGCACCACGAAATTCTAAACCGCATTATGCGGTGCGGTTTGGTGCGGTGTGAGTGGTTTGTGCGGTTTTTTGCATATCCCTACTTTCTATATAAAAGCTATATATGTATTTATTGTATGTCAGCTTCTAATACTATATATATATATATATATATATATATATATATATATATATATATATATATATATATATATATATATATATATATATATATATATATAGAGAGAGAGAGAGAGAGAGAGAGAGATTATGATCCGCGTTAAACGCGGGGAACATAAATTAAATACATATCACATTAATAGGTGGTTTTGTCTTATGTTGAATTTTAATATAAAAAAATGTTAGGTAGATTTATTTTTAGAGTTTTTGAACCAAACTTATTAGATAAAAGTATTTAATATTTATATTAGAGTAATTTGGGTTTTTAATTATGTAATTTTTAACATAAATGATCTATGTGATTTTTGTTTTATCATAACATAATGCAACTTCTTAATTAAAATATGTTATGTGGTAGCTTTATAAATTGAATTTGTTCGGTGTATCAGCCCTCATGGAGTCTCATATAGCTCTTTTCATATTGACCATGTAAAACAAAAAGCAACAATAAGTTGTTACATGTACCAACAACATTAAATTCTGTAAAGAAATTCGATAAACATTACAAATAATGTGAATTGTCATAACCATAAACATCAAATTCAGACATTATAATTTGATCGATTTCAAAGTATTTTTTCCTTATAAAAATTAAAATATGATTCTTCAAGTTACACTCAATCATATATACATATATTCCGACCAATTAAATTATTACAAGAAAAAAAACATGTTATGAACAAAAATATAATATTAGTTTCATAATTTGCTAAATGTTAACACTAATAAATAATAATGAACCTTCATAAATCTTGCATTTTGATCACTATATCCAACTAACAAATGAAATTTAGTTTAGATGATTGATTCAAGAAGTGCATCAATAACTTGTTGTAGCTGAATTATGGGAAATGTTAAGACCTACTGAGATATGTGGGAATGGTATGTGAGGTTACGGTTGGTTTCTATAGGGCAATACAAATTCAAAATCGTTAGCACATATCTTTCCTACCTGCTTCAATTATCAAATTTAGATCAAACTTGTCAAAGTCAAATTATAAAAAAATAATAACCAAAAAAATAACCAGATATGTAACCTAACAACCAAACAACATATTTTTCATTGAAATAAATATCATAAATCTACAATTTACACTTTATATATTATTCTTAAATTATATATTACATTTTCATCTTTAATGGCCACTGACACCTCTTTCTGTCTTATTATCGTGGCACGCATCTATATCGAAAATAAGAGAAGGAACTATAGAGAAGAATGTTGACAGAGTGATACTTCACTGGAGAATAAGATTGCTCAAGAAAAACACTTTAAATCATAAGACTCAATCCAAAATCGTAAGAATAATCACTTCAGTGTAATCGTATATATAGGGTTTTGAATAAGGAAATCATTATTTTCTAAAAAAATTGGGATTCTAAGATATCATCTTGAAGATTTTCTATTCATCTGGAAAAAATTAAAGGTATCAACCATATTAATTCAAAACTTCAAATTAATTGACTTTAATCGTCAAATTTTTAGTTATCATCATACAACGAATAAGAAGGCAAATGAGCAATAAGTTGTGTCGTTAAGCCCTTTTATATGGTAAAACCAATTCTTTTGAAAACTACATCTATTGATCTAGGGGATATAATATTGATATGCATGATCCGTTGTAGTCTACAAAGAAGCTCTACCGCATCCGACGTAAGGAAACCAAACGTATCAAATGCAAATGGTATGAACGTGTGATGATTTTCCATGCACGGTTTCTTATTTAATCAGTTTTAAAATTTAGATAATTATCTCAAATTGATTCATTTTATGTGAGATATACTGAAAAATAAATTATAAATAATATTGACTATAATTGATTTAATGGAATTATATTAGATTTTATAGGTTACTAACTTAATTATTGATATGTTTGTTTAACGAGTTTTTTTTTTAAAAAAAAATAAATAATAAAATATAAACGGATTTGAATTTGGAAATCAAAAACTATAAATAAGAGAGTTAAATTATGAACAATATTAATTAGAGAAACTGATATCATGTATATAAATAGAATGATAAAATAGAATGATATGTTTCAATTGATAAAATAATAAATTTAAAGATTCTATAATTATTTTAGATTTTATAATTAAATATAATTGTATTTGAATTTTATTTGTAGAAGATGATGTCAGCAATTTAATCTAAGAATGAAAAACATATGATTAAAACACAATCAATTGCTCTGATT